TGTATTTAGGAGAGGATGAAGGGGTAAATGAGAGAAAGCAAGCACATGATGAAGTGCACTTTCAAATCATTTAACACATCCAAAACCTCCGCTTCCTGAGTTGCAAAATGAGAGGTGTCATCTGAAGTGCTTGATGTGTCAGAAGGCTCTAAATACTACACTACCCATGAGCCTCAGCCCCTGTTGCTATGGAGAGGAATCCAGTCACAGATTCAGAGCTGTAGAAAAATTCATCTTTGTTATTGGAAACGAAACAGCACACCAGAGTTGCCGAATTCATCCAGAAATTGACCCACGGGCCCAAAGACACCCGATTTAAACTGCAGAATATTTATCAGGTTTCCATCACAGGTACAGAGGTACCTTTGCATGTTTACTCGAACAACCAGATCTTTTCTAACACAGCTGCTCATCTTTTGTACCGATGGTTCAATCCGGAGAGTTAATTTCCCACCAAAGGCTTGGAAGCGCTCCAACTGCAAGTCATCGAACACTTTCTATGCCAAATTTTAATCCCAGAATCTTCAATGCTCGACATAACTCCTCCAGATATCCACCTTTTTTTTTTTTTTGACAATTTAAGTTACCATAACGATCCAGCCACACCTCCTTCTCGCTGCTTGAAAAACAGTTCGTACACACACACACACACACACACACAGGGGGGGGGGGCTGCAGTGGTGATCGGACAAACACTGTTCTTGGAACTCTGCCGAGGCAAGGCTATTGTGCAGGCGCGCGGTAAAGAGACAGAGAGAAAGGTTGGGGGGGAGGCGGCGCTGAGGTTGCTTCAATGGCTGGCTCCACCAGTGGAGATAAAAGGCAGAAAGGTGCAGGGCCAAGTTGAGGCCTGGCCGAGGTGCTGGAAAAATAAAAATGATTGGAGGGGAAAACACTGGCAGTTGCAGGTGTCAGCAGGTGAGGCGGGGTCAGGGAAACAACGCGAGGTGTCCTGTGTATGTTTGGGTTCCAGCTTGGATCCGGCCTCTTCCTTTCTCTCTCCATACGTTTGCTACGACTACAATCCACGAACGCAAATTGATCATGGAAGCATAAAAAGGGTCTCATAGTACCGGTGTGGCTAGCTGATCGCATTTTATTTAATTTGGACTTTAACAGCTTGATGTGGATTGTACAGATTGTTTCTTGAAAGACAAATTCATGCGGCGTTTTGTGGTTTGGGTGAACTCGATTGCATCTGGAAAAAAAAAGGGAACATAGTGTCCAGACTTATTCTGCATGTGTGTATCCTTTTACTAGTCACCTCAGGGCCACATGGACCGAAGGTCTGGGTGTGGATCCATCTCACCCGGCCATTCAATCCCCCTCATCTCCGACCCCGTCAAAGCCACCCCACCGCCCGAGGACAGGGTCTGTGGATTTCATACATTCCACTGTGGGAGGGGATACGCTTGAGATTCTTCCACTTAAGTGGGTTTGATTATCAGGATTTAGTAAGCAGAAGAAAGAAGAAACTTGTCAAATAAAATACCCAAACCAGCACGAAAACAAGTTATTTGGGATGGTCGGCGGGAAAACCAGCCTGTAAATGTCACCACAACATCAGTGGCAATTACAGGCAGAGAAAGTGGCATAAACTGGACCGTCCCACATACGTTACTACACCCCTTACAAAGCCTGCACCTCCCCAAAAATGCATGTTTGTGCCCTGGGCAACAGAACATTTCCCTTTCTGCCGCAGGAGCAAAATAAATAGTCTACATGAGGGCAAAAGGGAGAGAAAAGTAAACATTAATTGGTGTGGAAATAATTCCATTACCATATAGCTCCCTATAAAAGGGTGATTTGTTCTTTTTGATCGCCCCAGAGAGTGTTTATGAAGTCACTGTGGGATCAGCCTGGGCCCGGGGGCAAGGCCAGCCACCAGAATTCCTCCGAAACATTTGTTTAGCAGCAGGCCGAGTGCAGAGCGGTGCACAAACGCAGTATTGTTCTTGCCGTTCTCGCTGGTCGCGCTGCCAGCAGAGGTAGGAGCTGACGGGGCCGGAGAGAGAGAGAGAGAGAGAGAGAGAGAGAGAGAGAGGAAGGAGAGCTATGGGGTTGAGGGTTTGGGAACAAGCAGACCCTGGGGATGACCCTCCCCGGGGAGTTAAACAAGCACTTCCTGCCATCAGCGTTACCGGGGACTCTTTGAAAAAGGTAATGGCCAACTTCTAAAGATCAGGTCATTTCACAGTCGAGAGGGCTGTTCCATCGCTGAGTAGTCAGAGCTTTATTCCCCCGCTGCCCTTCTGCTCTCTTCAGCACGTTGTGGTTTATAAATTATACAATCAAAGCCAACAAGTTCCTCCCACATCCATGTCTTTGTATGGGGATATTTGGAAGAGATTTATCTGCCCAAGAGTTCACGACTCCAGTGTTATAAACCCCTAGAGATCCATGTTATTTGATTTGTTTTTTATTAGAAACAAGGAACCACTCAGCTGGCTGTAACCTCTGGGGCACTTGGCTCCACATCTAAGAGGATTGCAGGTTGCAAGTCCTTTTCTGACAAAAAGGGGACAGCCATGGCAAAATACCGCCTCTGGAGGTGAAAGGAAAGCAAGCTGGAAAAACTATGCAAAGTCACCGTAATTCAGACAGGATGTCACAGAAATGCCAACTAGAGCTTTTTTCCGGAAGCCAAACGCTCGATGCACAGGAATTCTGCAGATTTGGCAAATTATGTGACAAAAAAAAAAAAAAAGGAACTACGCAATGTAGCAGAATTCCCCATCTCTTTGAGAACCTCGTATTAAAGAAAGCGTGGCTTTGAGCCGGTTTATACTGCCGTGTGATTATGTGATGTATTTTTAAAACCCAGTCTGCAGGGGCAGTCACTTTGAGCCTCCACCTCCGTGTTTGTATTGAACAGCGAGGCACTTGTTAGGCCAGACAGAGGCCAATACAGACCCCTTTGAAACTCATAATCAGCGTGATGAAAATATTAAAAGGACGGTGGAAGACGAAGGGTCAGGGAAGGTCCGTCTGTCGCTCCTTGAGTCGAAATTAACATACGCCTCGCCGTGACACCTTGAAGATGAATATCTAATTCGGAGGATCCAAGGATGATGAAAGCTAAAAAAAAAAAAAAAAAAAAAAAAAAGAGGACAAATGCATATTCAAATGGGCCTGGCAAGTCTGGCCTATTTTTGCATATGAAATTCCATTGCAACTCAGGGTCGGGACCTCTGGGTACTTAAGGAAAGAATGTACGACTTGAAATGGGAGACCACAACGAGGGCTGCTCGCGTCCCCCCCCCCCCCCCCAGCTGGGAGGACAGCATGCGGATCAAAGGGACTCTGTGAATCGTCAAGAGGGCCGATCGGGATGAACTTGGAGGGCATGTGAAGGGTCTGGGAGAGCTGCCTACTCTGCGCACATCGCGTGTGGGAGCCCCATCTTCTGCTCGGTCCGTTTACAGCTTCTCCTCGTTTCGTTAATAATTCAAAAAACACATGAAAAAAAAACCACACACACACACACACACACACACAGCTAGTCTCGACCATTAGAGTCCCCAGGGTGTGCTGCTAGCATGTTAGGAGGGTGAGTCACACAGTCCAGTGAGCAGTGTGTTTACCTCACGTTTGCCTTGGCCCGGCTGCTCTGTGTTAGAGCAGCGCGATGATGAAACCTCTTCCTGAAACGCCTCCTGTGCTTTACTAGGTGAGCATGAGACTGGAAGGCAGCACCTGCACGCTACCTCTCAGCGGCCCACAGTCAGGAATCAACGCTCTCTCGTCACCGTCCATAATCTCTTCTCTAATTCTGACCATCGCTTCTGAATGAAAGCTTAACAATTGTTCATAAAAAGGAAAGAAATACCTCAGAAAGTTGCAAAGTGAAACACACTGATACTTGTCTCTAAACCTGTTCACTTGTTGCCCTCAGGATGTGGCTGGTATCGATTTGTCAATGCCAATATTTAATTATCAGCTAAATAACAAACAGGTTTCGGTATTTGCCTTTTCTTCTTGTGGAAGCGTCCTTGAAACATTTGGCTCACGTAGAACCAACAACCGATGGGCTAGATAACGCTGCTTTCCTAAGTTTAGGCAGAAAATTCAGCATCTGCAAGCCAATTATCCAGCTAACCCTATAACATGTCAAAACATCCCAACACAGGTAGGAGATATAGTTGGTGCTGCGGGCCCTTGGCTCCAAGCGAGATCCCGTGTGTGTAAGTGTACCTGGCATGTCACAATAACAGGGGCCGGTCGTAGGCGGAGAACAAGAGCGTCTTTTGTAGGGAGAACCGGGACGACCAGCATCCCCCGTCGGGCTTCGGCCCCTATGAGAGAGCTGAAGTCTCCCGACCTCCAGCACCTCGTCTGCCAGCCAGCCGGGGCCCAGCCCGGAGAGGCCTGTCATCACTACCACAGAGGCCTCTATTCATCCCCGCAAAGACAAAGCCAAAAGTGTACAGCAGCCATCCAAGGCATCCCAAGCATCCAGATATCAACCAGCGATATCATTTTAGGCCTTTGTGAGCCTGTGCTTTGGTTTACCCGTCTTTCCATCCCCACCATCCCTCCCTGCTCTCCGTCCCCTCCGCGGCGAGGATTTGTCCGTTTTTGTGGTGCAAGGACCTCACATGCACCGCACACGCTCAGTGCACACTACCATGGATGGTTTAATAGTATGACAAGAAACTCACTTGTGTCACTGTCATGACTTAAGAACAGGAACTAAAATAAAGGCAGGTGTTTAAAATGACAGTGGGGCTCACGTTCAGTGGTTCACATTCATGTCAGACCCTTCCGGTCTGGCCCTCCGCTGGCCATTCTGGGCCCCTGAACTCGGTGGTGAAATCTCCACCTGCTGATAGCATCAGCTGCCCCCCCTCCCCAACCCCCTTCTCTCTGGCATGTGTGGCGGCCACCGATAAAAGAACTGTAGATAAGAGGAAACACAAGCTGTGATGAGGAACACATTGCCGCCAGGAGAAGAGAACAGAACATCAGCCCGGTGGAAAGA